CAAGAGCCATGGCACAATCCTGTCAATTTTTACTTTCAGGTAGATGAAGAAGCTGTTCCTGAAATTGGCAATTTTGATACAGTAAAAAACACAAAGACTGGCAGAAACCCACAAATTGGAATAATTTGAAAAGCTTCCTGCACCTTCAATTATTTGAAGTATTGGATGAACATAAAGGTAGTTGGGATAAATCATTGAGAGAAATGAATGTACCCATAAGATACACAAAAACCAAAATCTGAACCATCCCAGAAGCAGCAAGATCTTCTCACTAGAGTTTAAGCTTTTCTCTTTGACCCAAGCAATACAAAGCACAGAGACAATGAAAGCATTTATCCACAGGCCAGCAAAAGTCTCAAGGGTGATGATGGCCACAGCCACGATGCTGTATGAAGTGCCATTGGATTGCTCTGTAGAGTGACAAGCTTCCATCCTCCGAGATGGGGAGCAGTGCTGTGCTGGACAAAGGGGCTGTTACACCAATGCCTTACACAGGTCAGCGGTTGCTGTTCGCAGAGTGTCACGTATGGAAACAGGAGCTTTATAGAGCTGGTGTTGGTGGGGATTTTGGTGCCGCTCCTCTTGAGAGCAGGGCAGGTGCAGGGATGTAAATGTGCTGGGTATCCCCTTACCTGGTGTCAGTGCCACTCTTCACTATTTGAATTTTGGTTCAGGAGGGCAGTGTTTGATGTCACAAACAACGGAGATGTTTTTCTGCCTTGGACAGTGTTGTGATTTTGTGACTGACCTATGTTTGGTCACTGTCAGGATTCAAGATCTGGTTTCTTGTGTCTCTTGTCTGCCCTGGATGGTCACACAGAGCATCAACAAAGCACAATCAGGGATATCACTGTGCTCTTTCATCCAAAAAAAGTCACAGAGATGTGAAGTTCAACTGAGATCCTGTAAGTGGAGTTGATTCTGTTCCTCCACAGTCAGTGAAATCCATGTTAGCTATCCCAGTGGTAATGCCTTAATCTTACTTGAACAGCCACATAGTGGTGCGAGTGGTTGGGGGAATATTGTAAAGAAAGCAGGATTTTCTTTTCCAAGGTTAAGTTCAAGCATATGGAGAAAATCGGTAAAAATGAGCACAAGTCCCTGTGCTAGGGTTCAAATCTCATCTGCTAGGAAGTTAAAGTGTTTATGGGATGGGACCATTCTGGGTTCCCACCTCACTGCAATACCCTTGAGCTTCCAAATGAATTTAGGTCCTGAAAGCTGTGAGGATTTTTAACAGGCAAAGTGTACTAAGCTCTGTAGGGTATGGAATGCCTTTGGACTCTTAGTTAGACCATGACCTTGCACCTTGCACCTTGCACATCAGGATCACAACTACCACTGTGATTTCGGCTGATGCTGTGATGTAACCAGGAAAAATTGAAATCACAACAAATGGCTATAAGAACTGAACCACCAGCATTTTCTCTATTCAGGATGATGCTCTTGTTTTGTGGGGGATATAAATGCAATTACTGTGTTATGTGAATATTCATATCACACTCTCCCTTTGCATGTTTTTGGTAAGGCTCTTGCTACAGCACTGACACATGGAAATGCTGTTTACAGAAGGCCTGGAGTTGATCTCAACCACAAAATGTGGGACCTGCCACACATTCCCATGAAATCCATTTAGTTAGTCTGTGGGCTTTTCATAAAAGTTCTAGTGATATTTTTACCATGTT